GCCATCCCATCTCCCACATACACGACATCACGGAATCACTCAAGGGCACGACTATTTTTCCGAAGATTGGTTTGGGTAACTTCTACCGGCGTTCTATCCCACACGCGGCAGAACAAGTTACGACCATTAATCGACTTACTTCACGGTAATCCACGCAAATTATAATTGAACGATACCGCGAATACTGCACTCTCAGGGGTCAAAACGGCTCTAGCTCAAGTTAAACTCTTCGCACATTCTGACCCACCAGCCATGCTTAGTATAGCGGTTGATGCAGCGGAACGTTTCCGGTAGTTGGCAACCTCTTGAATTTTTGTCACGACGCCTTAATCTCACGGAGACGAGATATAGCGCTTATAGTCGAGAGCTGCTAGCAGCCTACTGTGCCATCAAACATTTCCGGCACGCAGTAGAAAGTCGCAATTTCATCTTATTCACCGACCATAAGCCTTTAACGTACGCCATGCATACCAAATCTGACCGTTACTCGCCTCGAGAATGCAGACATTCGGACTATATCTCTCAGTTCACGACAGACCTTCGTCACATTAAAGGCGAGTCGAACTACGTTGCTGATGCTCTATCACGTATTCAAGTGAATGCAGTCACTTCACCGGTGCTCGATCTTACTGCCGTGGCTGCAGCCCAAGCAAGCGATCCCTCCTGTGCAGAAGCACAACATCCTACATCCTTTCAGTGCCTTAAAGTACCCCTAGCTACCAGCTCAGGTACTATCCCGTGTGGTATTTCTACTGATCTTACCTCACCCATCGTAACCTCTGCTTACCGTCGTCCTATCTTCGATGCCCTACATGGATTGTCTCATCCAGGTATCGCAGCCATATTACACCTCATCGCTGCACGATACGTCTGGCCGTCCATGAATAAACATGTCCTCATGTGGCTAAAGCAATGCTTACGATGTCAACGATCAAAAGTGAACAGGCACGTAGCTCCCCCCATCGACACGTTCGCTACGCCTGATGCTCGCCTCGATCACGTCCATGTAGACATTGTGGGACCATTGCCAACATCGCACGGGTGTGATTAAATACTCACGTGCATCGATCGTTTTACAAGATGGCCTGAAGCTATTCCCATCACGTCTATCACGGCGGAGACAGTTGCTCACCGCTTCGTAGAACGATGGATAGCGCCGTACGGTTGTCCCTCGACTGTCACGACTGACCGTGGACGACAATTCGAGTCCGTATTATTCTCCTCGCTGACCCGGCTGCTTGGTACGGAACACATACGCACTACCGCCTATCACCCAGCATCAAATGGTTTAGTTGAACGGTTTCATCGCCAACTTAAAAGTGCTCTTCCAGCACACGAAAACGACAATTGGTACGAAACCTTACCGCTCGTGTTTTTAGGTATTAGTACGAGCTTAAAGGCAGATATTCAATGATCCGCCACTGAACTTGTATACGGCACGAGATTGCGTCTGCCTGGGGAACTTTTCACACCATGGAGCGGTAACGATTTCGGTAAATCAGACTATGTCTGAATTTATGCGGACACTGCTTCCGGTGTCAACTCGTATACAACATCGACAGGTCACTCTCCCTTGAGAGTTATCTACCTGTTCACATGTTTTCATACGAGGGATATTCAGGAAAATATCCCAAAAATTATCCTGTTAAGTCTAATGTTATCTTTGGACATGAAATTGTATCATCTTATTGGTCAATTTTTGTTTAACGTGTCATTTTCCTACTGGTCATTATTGTACAATGTTATTTCCTATTTTATGGTACGTTGTGGTCTGCTTGACTGGTATATAAACAAAGTATGTTTGAAATATAATGATTTATATATCCGAGGCTGAGACCTGTGTTCTGGACTCAACTGGCTGGATTAGATAGGGGAGCGAGACCAATCAGAACCCTAGGTCGTTCTACGCGATTGTGCGTCTTTGGTCCGATCAATAATTCACTACCCTTATTCAGCAGCATTTTATTTTTCACGTTATAACACCTACTTAGTTATCTTTGCCCACTATAAGGTTGACGCATACCACAGCCACACACCAATCCAACATTGACACAATCATTCCGACATAAAACATTTCTCCTATTCAACATCGTATTATTAAATTGATCACAGTACACCACTCTTCACACATTTAACATACTTAGGTGAATTTCCAACTTCACAAGTGATACATTTTGCATGCGATCCAGACACATGAAACTCACTATTGGATTCACGATTGACACATAAACACATTACATTGGTCACAGTTGTGCAATAATTATGGAGTCTAAATTTCAGAGCCTGATGATTAACTTATTGAAAATGTTTTCCCATTCTAATTCCACTTTATTATCTCACTTGATAATTTTATGGGACTAATTCCCACAACAGTGATGGATCTGGTTGGAAAATGAGAATTCATCTATGAAACAATGCACACATTAGAGATCTAATGAAGATAAATTCAGTTGCGCGATAGTCAGTAGCTACGAGAAAAGTAATTCCTCCATGTGATTGACGAAAATACGCCGATCTGTTGTCCGCAACGCAATGAGGTAGACCATTAACATTAAAAAATCAACAGTCTAGTCGTTCATGGAGGAGATGAACTACGAACAAGTTGAGTATTGAAGATGGATGCAACTTTGCAAAAAACAGACTAAGGGGGTGTCGAATTACAAGCAATACGAGCAAGATGTTCATCAGTCCTCGTTTGGCCATTTGTTCGATCATTTTTATTTCAACATGCAACCTATTTACAATGATAAAAATATTTGATTGGTATGAAAATTTGTCATCATCAGTTGACGGTGACCACTTTGTAGGGGATGAAATCACAACGATGAGGCAAGTGTTTGTGGACAATCCCTAACCAAATAGTGATCGTTGATGTGCAACACTGTGAAATGTGTGAAATTGATGTTCAAATGTGTTCTTATTGTGGAATTCATCGTTGGGACTGAATCAATGGAGTGATTGTGCACACAACATGGAGAACACGTTCAGCAAGAAAATATCTAGTTACGGAGTAGTTCTGCGAGGCCAACAATGTATATTCGAAATCCACAAATGACAGATATTCAATCACCAATTTCACCTACAGCCTAAATCCCTCATCAAATATATTGAGACGTGTTAATAAACTGGAAGATTTAATTTGGATAGGGTGATAAGAAGACACAGTTTATCAGGATTATGTGATATATTAGCGCAATACATTTCAAACAACCTAATCACACGTATACTGTTTCAAAACATCTATACATAAAGATTGAAATGTCAACTAGACAAATGGAGGTTAGGAGGAGCCAAAGATAATAAGATAAATATGAAAAAACGATTTGAAACCTCATCACGCTAAATAATATGCTGATATTACCAAGAAAGATTTAAGTTGAGAACAAACTTAATTTGAATACATAAAGTAGTTTGAATTTTCGTTTGGCTGAGGATTCAATAAACCCTAGTATACGCCCTTTAACACATTTTGTACAACACCACAAAAGACTTTTTAAAATCAATCTTATGACCTGTTTCAACTACATGATAGGCAATAAAATATGATGGGTGTTTATCATTCACTCTTATTCGATCATTTGATTTTACTTGTTTCCGCAAACATCTAGGCACATGTTCGGATACCTTAATTTGCAGATCATGGTTACTCCTCCTTGTGTATGTGTGGCCACACGCACACACGCGCGCACTTAAATTGATAGAAACAGTGTGATATGACGCAATCGCCTTCATGTCTTTTAGGTTTTGGTGAAGCATGGGCCTTGTTTTTCCCCTGATAATGACCTTTTCTATGTAGTACGTTTTGTTAGCAACTGATTCATCACTTGTTTTAGTAAAAGGCTATTTGAATCACCTTTGAACAGTAAGGTTGTGTAGACAGACTGTTTTGTGCCAAGGCTGTAGTGCGCCTCACTATACCATCACCTTCCTATCTATTTATGAATTTTAACGGATAACCACTTTCCATTTGTGTTTTGTTCAACAACCTAACGTCGTCATCAGTATCATCGTCTGTGCAAATAAGACTAATTTGTTAAATAGGCCCACTATCATAACCCTTTTGCATTGCACTGGGCAGTAACTATAATAAATATGATATTGGCCTGTCCAAGTTGGCTTTCTAAAAATGGATCGTTCGACGGAACTATCTTCTCTTCTACTTATAAGTATATCTAAGAAAGGAAGTTGGTCACTCTTCTCCTCTTCCCATAACAGATTGATGCAGTTTTGATAAACGTCAAGTTTATTCAACAATCATGTCATGTGGTCCTTTCATTCACAGATAACTATAATATCATCCACGTATCTCTTATAAAGTGACATGCGTTCGACTAGGTATTCAGCTACATTCACGGTATTTGCCATGAACACATCTGCTGATAAACAATCTAGACAATCGAGTGAAGTGGGATAGATGGAGTGTGGCTAACAGTGGAACTTAGGCTGAGCGTGGACTTAATGTAGTTTCATTTCACCTTTTGCAGATTGCCTCCACCCAACCGACGAGTCCGAACTAGAACAAAACGCGTGTCCTAGATTCCACTACTAGCCACATTCCATCTATCCTACATTAGTTCATGTCATAATGGTTATATCGAGACAATCCTCAAACGATGTCTATGTGTCAACCAAGACTGGTCAAATTACAGTCAAATATACCAACAACGGGATAATACAAACTAATGCAAACTGCATTGTTCAGTGAATTGATATGTACATTTTCCTATAATTATGAGGTCACAACAGCGAGGCATGGCGCGCACTTGTCTACTAACAACACGTATCTCTCAACAGTTCGAAATATCACAAAAACTAACGTCCGTTCATTACACAATACAAAGCGTACATGGAAAACACTATTTAGAATGAATAGGTTTTATTCATCTCGAATTCAAACACGACTATATTACAGTGAGTTGAATTGAGAGGTGTGTGGAAAAAATGGATAGTGGACAGTGTGACACAAACAAGTTAGAATCATCCACAACTCAACTGGTGCCTCAGTAAGTGCTTGCATAAGCGTTTGGTTTGTAAGCATTGGGTTTGTAAGTATTGGGTTTGTAAGCATTGGGTTTGTAAGCATTGGGTTTGTAAGTATTGGGTTTGCCACCTTTGCCACCTTTGCTACCACCCTTGCCACTGCCATGACCCTTTCCATGGCCACTGTCTTTACCACCACCCTTTCCATGGCCGTTGCCACCGTAGCCTTGATCACCACCATAGGGAGCAGGGAAAGCTTCATCGAAGCCATATCCACAGCCTCCACCATTGCAACCACCACCATAGCCGCCACCGCCACCGCCGCCACCACCACCACCACCACCGTAACCACCACAATCGTCACCATTGCAACCACCACCATAGCCGCCGCCACCCTCATAGCCACCACCACCGCCACCACCACCATATCCGCCACCCTCATAGCCACCACCACCACCACCGCCACCGCCATTTCCGCCACCCTCATAGCCGCCACCACCACCACCACCATATCCGCCACCACCATACCCACCATCTCCATAACCGCCACCACAATCACTACCGTAGCAATCACCACCGTAATCATTCGGACTTTCATGTGGTATTTGGTAGGCGGTGGCGTAACCAATGGCCACTAAGAAGACGAGTGTGAGCGACGATCTCATTTTTCCAACTGTCTGTGTTGTTGTATTCGGTGTGATGATATGTAAACTAGTGTGATTTGTCATTTATATATTGTTTTTGATTATGGATTGGAAGAGTTGTGCCTCTCTAAGTGCATCATTATTCAATACATATTACGCTTGTGCACTCTACTGTTGAACTGTCTTTTGTGTAATCGTTAATGATAGTTGAACGTGATAGTTAAAAATATCGATGAAACAGTTAGTTCACAAATTACTCACTATTTTAATTCCACCGTTGGAATTCGTTAGCATGTGTTTTATCGGAACCGTTGATTAAGTCTTCACTGAATGAGACCAAACTCTTTTTGATAACACTGAAAAGTGATGTATTTCTGGACACACAAATTTTAAATAAACAAGTTAAAGAAAATTTTATTTAAACTTAACTTGTTGACCTCATGGACGATGTTGTAACGACCTTAAATAAGGGATTTCTGGCAGTCAACAGACCATTCTTCATATTGTCATATTTCATACATGACAATATCAATTAATACAGTAAACCAGATACTAGTAATAAAAATACTTCGTTTGTTCAGGCTATATTCTCTCAGGAAAGTGTCATATGTCAGTAATTTAGGGACAACAAGGTACAATCATCATTGGATGACCATAAGACAAGCCAGTTTCTCTTTCATATTTAAACTCATTATTAGTATTTGCTTAACATAGTTTATCCTCATTGTTGAGACACGTAGAGTTTAGTTCGATAGTATGAGTGCCACCTGACTACTTTCAACGTTCATCTTACTCGAAACCGCAAAAGTGAATTGAACACTTTTAACCAACCCCATCTTCTCTCACTCATAATTTATTTTTACATGAATGAGATGACGTTGTTCAGTGGTGGATTCCCGTGTTCCAGTGTTATGCAGAACTGTCTCAATTCTCATAATTGGTTCATTGTGTTAGTAGCTTAAACCTGAATAGATACACACTCACGTATTGTTGAGTGTGAATTGTGGAAGTGTTTGCAAATCAAGTTGGAATTGTCTGTAATGGCTTATGAACAGAAGAATCTCATACGACAAGTCAAAGAGCAAATGAATTCCCCATATCAATCACTCACTACCTTTTCAATGAACATGAGAAATATACGAAATCTTCCACTTGAGTTAGTCAGAGCAAACATGAAACGTTTGAATATCGATTGTGACAATGTTGCTCTCATAATGCCCAACCGTGCTTCCATTTCTATTCGTGTATGAGATGAGCTGTTTTTGTCAAGTTGATTTACAGTTTATTATTTTGAATTCTACTGCATCAACTCATGAAATCTTTTCACGACAGCTCGTAACACTCTGAGTAAGCAATCTACTTAGTTCATCGGTGTCATGTACGTTTATTCCATACACTGATTGGTATTCATGGTATGTGGTTTTGTTGAATTCACATATACAGTTTCGGACTGGATGTTGTGAATACACTTACAAATTAATGGAAAGTGTTCTCGGATAATTCAATCCAGTAGAACTAATTATAGTGCAAGGCTTGTAATATGCAAATCGTGTTGATGAATTTGAGTAATAGGATTCACTAAAATAAGGTATTAGTATAGGTATTAGTAATATTGATAGAGGAAAAAGAAGTTTTAGTGATAGTAATAGCCGTCGTCGTAGCAATAATAATAATAACAATAATAGCAATAATAGTAGTAGCTGTTGTTCTTGTTCTTGTAGTGTGAGTAGTAGTAGTGGTATTAGTGATATTGTTTCTAGTGTTCGTAGTTTTAGTAGTAGTAATATTTCTCCTTTCTGTTCGGCCAGTGTAGTTGCTTTTTCAGGTACACGCAAATTTATGAATACAATTGTCTGTAACATGAAAGGAGTGCTTGTCAACCTTTGATTGAGTTATTGAACATGCTGTTTTATACAGAATTAATAGTTCGATTGCTGGATAAGTTCTGGCCAATGCAATGTTAAGCCTCCTTCCGATTGTGTTTGCGACGTCATCGCTTCTAAAGTTGAGATTTATAGATATCGGTTTTTCAATAGCTGTAGTCATTCCCATCTTATTTCCTTTAGGATTTTTATATTTATCAATAAATTTATGAGGACAACAGTTATCTGTTAGGTATTTTTCAACGTTCATCAGTTCTTCTTCCAGTTTGTCCGTGGTATTGTAACATGTATATTCAGTGATTTTTATAACGACAAAATTAAAACCACATTTCTTCCGATTTGTCACAGTTTATACGTAACCACATTTATGTTGAATATCTATTGTTTCTCTGTATCAATAGTAAGGAAACGGACATAATTGTTTGGTTATATACACACATTTCCGCGATTGTTAAAATGTAAACGCTATCTCCGCCGTCTGCTCTTCTGCTTTATTGGCTACGGTCTTTGATTGAAAATTATAATAGTGTTATAACATCCTTTAGGCCTTCCCTTGCTACGTCAGAGTTTTGAACTGGATCATTATTAATCTTTCTCATTACGCCGTTGCTTTGCAAATATTCATTCTTACCACCATTCTTTGTATTTAACTTTCTTCAGTCTGTTCTGGTGTCTCACTATCAAGTATGGGTCAGGCAAATAATACTGCAGACCTAATAGTGATTGGAAATACTCTAATAAACCTTCTTCCTCACTCATAATTTTTTCACTTAGTAATTGTTTGTGTGCTTGCTCATAGAAATTTTGTGCAGCAGTATCATTCTCAATTACTAACCGCCATAATTAAATACTTAAGTTTCTAATTTTACTCATTTTCCGTAGTTTCTCCTGTTTTGTATGATTTTAATTTGTAGATGGTTGGATTATAAAATAATGTTAAAGAGAACAAGAACGGAGATTGGTGCAGAATACTATATGGATTCATTTTATTTTGTTAAGTTCTCCATCAGCCGATAACAACCTCAAATATTTAAAATTCAACATTATTACAGATATTGACATACTTGTACATAAGAGGGTGATTAAAGATGAATAAATGTATCATGATGTAGCGAAGATTCCGTTAGAGTTAATGAGGTCATAAAATTCTTGTCTCGAATTGTCTCGAAAGTTTCAGAACATTGAAGTAGTGATTAGAACTCATAGAGTTAACAAATATTAGATGATTGTGTAACTAAGTAAATGAAAATAAACTAATGGTAATAAAAAAAGATATGAATTGAAATCAGCCAGTTATGTATGATGTAATTTAAACTTCAGAAAGAGTGGGAATAATGACGTAATAAATAAATAAAGGGGGTTATTATTACCAGAGTAAAGAAAGATTTATTACTGTCTCTTTTTGTATACATAGGTCTGGGTTGAGAGAATAAAGGATACCCGTTGAAATTTATTGAGAAATATGCTAAGTATGTCAATATCTGTAATAACTCTGATTTTCAAATATTTTAGATTGTAAGCAGCTGATGGAGAACTTAACGAAATAAAATGAATCCATATATTATTCTGCACCAATCTCTGTTCTTGTTCTCGTCAAGATAATAAAGGGAACTATGTGTATATAAAATAATGACCAGATGCTTATTGTCTATGTAAATGATTGATATTACTCACTGTTAGGTTTCCGATAGCATTGATTAATAGTTCACTGGTTTCAGGTGTTCAGTGGTGGTCTTACTTAGGTCGACGAATGAATTCAATTGTTAAAATGACATCGATTAAGGCATTAATTGATTACTTGACATTATTTATTTGTTACTTATAAATGCTTTAAAAACAAATTTCCCACGTATTTTGATTTGTTTTTTCTAGTCCTGGAGTGTAATGTAATGTAATAGGTTTCTTCAGTTATCTAGATGAAAAGTCATTTTGTATTATATATTCGTGACATTATAATTGATGAGTGATTATGAGCAATAGTAAAATGGTTTTGAGAAACCTTAACTACTTACTAGTGTCAATAGATTTGAATCATAGATTAATGTAATGAACTAAGATCAGGTTTTAGAGTCAGAATTAGAATAAGGGTTTTCATAACAAAGTGACACGAACTATAATATCAAACTGTTATTTATCCATATAGATCAATGATCTTAGAGCCAAAATCTACCATTACCATTACCATTACGCCTGTTACTCCTCGTGAAGTAGCATAGGCCGCTCACCAGCATTCTCCATCCAACTATGTCCTGGGCAATCCTTTCCATCTCCTTCCAGTTGTTATTCATCTTTTTCATATCTGATTCTATTTCCCGACGTAATGTGTTCGGTGGCCTTCCTTTTTTCCGCTTCCCTTGAGGATTCCAAGTTAGGGCTTGCCTCGTGATGGAGTTTGGTGATTTCCGTAATGTATGTCCTATCCATTTCCATAATCTTTTTCTAATTTCTTCTTCATCTGGAAGCTGATTTTTTCTCTCCCACAAAAGACTGTTGCTGATGGTATCCGGCCAATAAATGTTGAGTATCTTGCATAGACAGCTATTTATAAATATTTGTACCTTCTTGATGGTGGCTGTTGTAGTTCTCCACGTTTCAGCTCCGTACAGTAGAACTGCCTTAACGTTGGTATTGAAGATTCGGACTTTGCTAGAGCCAAAATCTAAGTCTCTGTTAAATCTGATTGGTTTTTTCAGAAATTATAGTTTACCCACGTAACTTAATTCGTTAATCGATGCATTAACTAAGCATTAAATGATGAAATTTGATTTTCAGGAGTGATTTCATGTCTAATTACCATTACGTAACTGAATGAAAAGACATCTCACGAATAATTTTATAATTTGTAGATTTTATAAAAGAAAAGTAACACAATAATGAAGTAGTAAATTCGTGAATGGATTGATGATCAACAAGGATCTTTGTATTACAATGACTTTCCTTTGAACCTAATTGTAACCATATTACATCTGAAAAGATTTACAAAATAATAGAATGAGACATATGACAGAACAGTTTTGTTTTCAATATATTTTTCATCTTACATTACTCTTATAATACAGTAATATTTATGAACAAATTGAGCTTCAGCTGTTGAACTTTAGTTAAACGTGTAAATTTAGTCCAGAGTGGATATCAACC